TGCAGCAGTCGAGTCAGAACATGTCTGGCTGGGGACAACAAGTGACTGTTGAGACAGTTCGGATTCCCCAGCCTAGAGAATTTTAAAATTCCTAGAGGATCCTGGAGAAAGCGAGCATAAAGACTGCGGCAATAGAGACAGGTTCCTGAGTAGGCCAGTCAACGAGCCCTAACTGAGAAGCAGCTTGCGACCCCACCTTCACTGCATTGTAGTGTAATTAGATAGCCAGCACACTTTCTTTGGGAGCTGGGTTCCTGAGAGACTGCATGACCACACGGTAGAAGCCATAGCCGGGCCCAACGCTCCTCTGGAGTGTTTGGTGGACGTCCCTCTCTGGAGAAATGAATAGCAAGTGTACTTTGACAGAAACCGTTTCTCTTGCGGATTCTCACGCACCCTATGCTGGCACCCCAAGCCCCCAAAATATCCAGAATTCCTGAACCCTGAACCTCGAACCCTAAACTCCTAAAACCTACATCTTGAGGCTTTCCCTGAGCTTCAGAGTTTAGGCACTGGGATCCTCTGGGATAGAGCCATGTAGGTCTCCGGGGATCGAGATTTCCGAGCTCCCGAGTCAGGGCTCCCAGAGACTCCATTATCCCTTAGTGAAGGAATCTACCTTAAATTATAATCGGAACCCTACTAAGGCCTGAATTAAGGGATATTGGAGTCTCTGGGCTCTTAGGGCCCATAAGGGATGTAAAGGGAATCTCAACAACAAGGGTTTCTAGGACTTAGGATGCCAGATGCATTTCCATTGTGCATGTTGTGGTTCTCTTCATGGAGCGAGCAGTCTGCCGACACTTTTTTATATTCACATTTGTGGTTTAGGGGTGGGGGTTCAATGAGACACATGTTTCTGTTCGGACGATTAGAATGCTAACTGCTTTCATGTCCCCTCAGAAAGTGCAGTAGTCGTTCATTTCAGCGTGTTGCAGGGCCGCCAAGCGGCATCCGACCACTCGCGAGCAATGATGAAATTTGGCGGACTGCGAATTCCGAGAGCGGGAGAGAGAGAGAGAGAGAGAGAGAGAGAGAGAGAGAGAGAGAGAGAGAGGGAAGGAGAGAGCGGCAGCATGCTGTTCGGTTCAGGCACTTCCGTAAGTTTACATGTTTCTACCTCTCAGATGAAGATCGAGTCACGAACCCAGCCATGGACGCCTCCATCCCGAAGCACCCAAACTGTATAGTCCTTGGCAGGCTCGACCGCCAAGATGTCCCAGAGCCCTCCAGCATCTCCGACGACCTTTGATCTTTTCGAACTCCCGAAGATACATCAGCCTTGGACTCGCTCCCTACCCATATAGGCTCCTTAGTAGTTCCCTTTTGGGACTACCTTATAGGATTCTAAATAGGAACCATAAAAAGGAACTACTGAGGAGCCTATGGGTGCACCCAACACTGAACCCACATCCTTGAGGTTTCTCCCGGTTTTTTTGCCAAAGGTGGAACCCGCTGCGATGTGGCAAGGGAAGGAGCGCAGAAGTGCCCCGAAGTTGAAACCGGGCCAGAAACCTAAAGCAATGGCGCTCCGAAGCTCGGGTCGGTGCGATGAGAGATCAGCTTATATGAAGGAGCACCGAGGGCATCGTTCCCATAAGGCGCCGTAAGCCACAAGATAGCTTCTTTGCACCCCTTGGGCTACCCCATGAATTTCCCTCAACCCGTCAGTCTCGTGCCTGGTTTGGGCCTCTTTCGAAGGTCTTCGCCAGTGTTTTTGTGAGGATTACACGAAGCTGTATGGGATTCTAAGAATTTCTGAGCAGCCACGGTGGCCCCGTGATGGCTTACCGCATCTATGGCGTAAATGCATCACGGGATGGCTTCTTGAGCAGCCCTCGTGTGCCTTGGTCGCTGCTTTTACCGGAAGACAGCTGCAGAGTGCAGTGAAGCCAAGCTCTCGACTCTGCGTCACAGCCCCTTTTTAGGGTTCAGAGCTGTCCATGGGTCCATGGGCCCATAAGTAGGAGCTACAACGCTTAAACAGCGGGTAGGATATTGCATCCACGGGTAGGGTATAGTCTTCCGGGAATTCTGAGCGTTTCCGTGATTTTCGGCTCGCAGTACATGCCCCAAGAAACGTGTCAGAGACCGAATCGATTCACGTCGTTTCCACGAAAAGTGGTTTCGAACGATGGTACGTCAAGGCGCTTGGAGAAGAGCAGCGTAGCTGCATTTCGGAGCTCAATTCGGGATCTGTAGGGGCTTTCCGGCCCATCCTCCTGCTATCTGCGGTGTGAAGATGTTGTTGGTTTTCGCTTCCTGCTTCAAGGCCCAACTGCTTGATCCCATGGTTTGTCAGGTAAGGATAGATTATGGCATGGGTTCAAGCAAAGCTGTTTTGCTTTCATAGCAGATAGAACATACGCACGGCGTTTCAATACGAGGTCTAAAGCCCGACGCCCTGAAGCTGGAAGCCCAGCACTGCACTCTTTCCTAGCTCTCTAGAATCCTGGATACCGGGTTGAATAGTTACCTTCATTAATCTGTAACATGAACTCAAAACCTTAAGTGCAGGCATAGGGGCATCGTATGTTCCAGCCTTCGGGCACTTGCAGCAGTTTGGGTTCAGTCTTCCCAGAGGTTTGGAGGTTGGGGTAATAGTCTGGACTCTTTCTTTCTTATAACTCCTGCAGTACTTGGCATCAACATCTACGGTGCTTACCAATCCCCAAGCCTCAGGCACCTTGACCTGCTAGAAGCTAGAACCCTGAATGGAACGCTTACATGACCCTTTATTGTAGGACCGCTTAATTATAGGATCCCTTCTAGGATTTCAATAGGAACGCAACCCTTTAGGAACTCTGAAAGGAAGCCTTCATCAGCTGAGGTTCTGTTGGCCTCCTTGGCCTTCGGCTCGGCGCGAAGTAGCAGTTGCCAGGCATGCCCCCGGGGGAGAGAGGGGGCGAAACCGCAAGATAAGGTCTCTGAATCATTACCGATACGATTTCTTTCGGTTCCTCCATAATTCTTCTAAGGAGTATATATTGAAATCTACCAAACCCTACTGTAAGTAGTTAACGAGCCCTTTATCTCAAACCCAGCCAGGCCCTCCCCCAAGAAGCGCCCTTGGATACACTCAAGTTACTAACCGAGGTAGCTGGGATTTCACAAAAAAAGACCAAGCCCTGAAATCGGAAAGCCCGAAGATCCCTGAACCCTCAACCATTTACAGGGGGTTTCCCCCATTCTCCGGGTCAATCAACCTTTCAGAGGCAGACAAGTGATCTCAAACAAAAAACTAGACCCCTCTCGCCGGGCATGTCCGAGAGTGAGCACCGAAAGCCCCAAGCCCCTAAAGCCGTAAAGCCATCAACACCTTTAAGCCCCAGAAAACCTTGGCCCAAAGCCAACCTAGTATAGGGGCGGGTTTAGATTTAATGACCAGTTTCCTTGTTCCCTTAGAGTCCCGATACAACCCAACCCCAAAAAAGTTACAACTACCCCCTCTGGGGTTAGGGTTTAGGGTCCCTTTGTCTGGTCTGTGTTGTTACCTCGAAACGCAACGAAATAGCTAAAAGGCCGGCGAGGACAAACAGAGCCGATTTTAAAGGGTAGTCGAGGCCTCATTCTAATCAACCCTTATCGATTAGAACCCCTTAAAGCTCGTACAAAACCCTTAATGTAGAAGCCTGAATAACAACCCCTTAGAGCTCTTATAGCACCCCTGAGGTAGAAGCCTGAAGAATGACCACTACTACTCCTCAGGCTTCCTATGCTAATTAGAGTGCACTATCCCCCCCCCTCCCCCACCCCAACACCCTACTCTAATCCCTTTTCGAACTCTCACAAGAAGCCTGGTAGAACCCTAAGTCGTCGTTTCAGGCCGGTGATGTCGGATCCCTCCTGCAGATGCACCACTATGATCAGGCCGTCATCCTTAGAGTTGGGGCTTATAAGGATCAGGCCTCAGGGCTTGGTGGGTTCAGGGCTTTAGAACTTTAGGGCTTAGTGAGTGTAGTGTCTTGCAATTCTAGTATCAGTTTTCGTCTGCTGGCGGCTTTACATACCATCTTGGTTTCGGCGTCAGGTGCGTGCGCACGTGTCGAAAAAGCTATGCTAGGAACCCCGCTCTGCCATGGTTAAATTCGAACGCTGGGCTCTGATGCTTTCGGTTCAGACGCGACGTTCGGGTTCCTCGGTTCCTCGTCGCAGGGTGACGAGGTTGAAGACAAGATGGAGTGCACAAAAGTGCCAGCAACATGGCAAGATGGCGACAGACGGGTGTCATAATTGGGCATCGTATCGCTTACAGGATGAACTTGAACTGGGTCGTGGGAGTACACTCATCTCTTGAACATGAGCGTTTGAAATTTGCTTTATCTGTGAGTTTGAGGACTCCCGAAGTGTCTGTCCAAGTGGCCTCCGGTTTTGTGAGTGAGCGAGCATGGACACTAAACAGTAGGAGTAGGAACCACCGCTTCCAGGAACTCCCGTAAGGGGGGCCTTAGGATATTGGGGTTTGGGGCGTAGGGTTTAGGGAGTTTAGGGCCACCGGCACTCAGCCCATCTATTCGCCCGCAACCCCACGCAGACATCCCTGCTCGCCAGCCGAGGCTCATACCTGCATGACCACACAGGGGCGATACCCCTTCAAAGGCGCTAGAGCTTTCAGACTTTTAGGGTTTAGGGTTTAGGGTTTGAGATTTTTAGTTTCGAGTAGAGGTTAGGGCTCAAGGTCCCACAATTGTAGGAGTTACGAGTAGTGTGGTCTCGGGGTTATAGGTACAGGGCTCAGGCTGCGCGGGGTTTACGGTTTGGCAATCGGGTTCGGCGAAGTCGATGCAGAGCACAGGTATTTTTTGGATATGGGGCTTCGGGTTCGGGAATTTGCTAGACCTTTATGCCGAAATACACGCGGCTACAGAAGCCGTGCAGCAAGCGCGACCAAGACGCACACCAAAGAACCGTGAAGTCTCCCACCTAGCCTCGTATTCGTAGCGCTGTTATAGTCTCTCCAGAGGTTTTTCTGTGAATGTGGGCCAGTTATAGGTTTAGAGTTGGGGTTACTCCGGTCTTGGCACGGTCGCGTTGGTCCGTGAACGCCTCGACCCGTAGCCCTGCATCGACTGCCTGGAGGTCATGCGCTTTACGACGAGAATGGCGTTGAGGGCAAGCAGGCATCGTAGCCACTGGTTCATCTTCGTTCTGTTTCAGGCATTTGGAGTTTGGTTCGGGTCAGGGAGCCCTGTTACTGTTGAGGTCCACAGGCCACAGGGTCGGATGAGGGAGAGGCAGGCAGAGGCAGACGGAGAGACTGCATGCAGAAAGAGAGGTGCAGGGTTCAGGGTTTGGGTTTTAGGGTCCGTGCAGTGGGTGGTGCTTGTTATGGGGCTCCAAATCAGTCTTCTATTGCTTCTCCTTCTCTCTACAGGAATATGGGCCTCCGGGGTGGTAGTAGTAGCAGTAGTAGCAGTAGTAGTAGTAGTAGTAGTGGTGGCAGAGGCAGGTCGTCGTCGTCGTCGTCGCGGCGGTAGGAAGAGTAGTCGTTTTTGGTGTGTTGTTCTGGTTGTTGTTGCTGCTGCTTCTGCTACCGTGATTTTGCTTGCGCTGGTGCTGGTGTTGTGGCCGTTGTCGTCGTCCTGAAACATGCTGCTGTCGTTTGCAACTGGTGTAGCTCATCTTGACTAAATCGACTAACCCTGCATCACGAGGATCACCTGCCGGTCGGGGACTGCCCGTTGTGCAACGGAGCCGGGAATGGCGGAGCAGCTTTCCTGCAGTTTTAGGTTTGGGGTTGCAGGCCCGACGGGGTTGGGTGAAAGCTAAGAGCTTGAAAGTCCAGATGAGGGCAGGTAAGATGTGCCAACGACTAGTAACTCTGTGGGGCCGAAAAGTCAAGCTTTAGTTCGGTTTAGTTTCCCGGGGAAGCTGAACTAGAAGGGGATTTCAGAAATCCACGCCAGAGCTGCCATTACAGGGTTGTCGGCAATTGGTTACCTGTCTCTCGCGCTTTCTCTCTCTCTCTCTCCCCTCTCTCTCTCTCTCTCTCTCTCTCTCTGTCTCTCTCTCCCTTTGTCTCTCACTCCGTCTTCTTTGCAGTAAGACACACTTAAACCCTGGACCACGAAAGCCGCAAGTGTTGATGCTCTCGGTCGGTTATCTAGGTGTGGTGCCTTCTGTCTCCCTTCAAACGTGGAACACCCGAGTAACCCAACAAGCTTGGCATTACATGTGTTTAGGCTGTTTACGCCATGAAAGTCCGATGCACATGGCAGACGATGAGCAAGCCCAGCCGACGCCCTGACACATAACTTGAATCCCAAATGATCCCTAAGCTGAGCCCTCCAAGCCAAAACTAAGGCCACAATAGCAACTCAACTTCACCCTGACACAAGTGCACCTCGAATAACAATATGTCTAAATCTATCCCTCAGAAATGATATGCGTGTGTATATGTATATATATATGTATACACAAATGGTTATTATGTATGTATAGTTATATGTATAATATGTATGTATATATATATATATACGTACATATATATATATACACAGACATATACAAATATATATATATATGTACATAAAATAAATGAACCATCAAGCTCCCCTAAGGCCACGCTCTTCGGTGTAGAGCGCTTTGACGGAATGGGCGAGCGGGGTGCTGGCCTGATCAAGCTACCTTGAATGCATCTTTGTGGGGTACAGGGTTTAAGAGATTTTGGTTTGATGCATCGTGGAGCATAATTCAGTTATGTTTGTTTCAGTTTGTATCATATTAGAGCTGTATGGTTTCTTAATCAGGCCCTGTAAGGAGTTTATACGGGATCTAGGAGGGTTGAAAGGGGCAGTTTTGGTGACGAATGCGGGGCCGTTTAGATGTTCTCAAAGTAGCCATCCTGCAAATCCCTCATGCAGCCTCGACCTACCTAGACACCGCAAGCACCCTGTGGCCCAGTTAACCCGTAATCATGACTATCAAGCTCCACAGAGCCTCTAGTATGGGCACCTTGAAGGGTTTCGACCCTAAACCCGGCACCCTAAGCCCGAAACACTGATGTGTCACACGTCTGCCGGGACCTCGTCTGTCAGAGTCCGAGTTGTGAGAGCGTGAACCCGAAACATCCGAAACCGCAAGAATGCCTTATGCCTTATATACCCTATAGGACCTTAGCCTTAGCCTTAAACCCTAAGGATGCTCTGGGACGCTGTCAGCAGATCGGAGAAGGGCTGTCAGCGAAAAGTACAACAACCTAAGAACCATACCCTACATACCCGATAATATATCAGTATGTATACACATACTGTATTAACTTATGTACGCTTAGCCTTTACACCCTAAACCGCAAGGATGTTGGCCATGGCCGACTACGCGAAGCTGAACTTCGGTGGGCTGCTACCCAGTGGAAACGAGTCCTCGCACGGCGTGGACATGCCGCCGCTCTGTCATTTGCTAGGTGGCACTTTCTATAGAGGTACCTATTCATGGATACGCTCGGGGGCCCGAAAACTACAACCCAGTTTGGGGTTGAGGGCTTTCAGGGGTGTAGGGTTCAGTGGCTTGCATAGGACTTCAGCGGCTTCCATCGGACTGCTAACTGCTTGATAAGGTTTTTTTTGGCAGCCGCAGGGCTCTTGGCAAGCGCCTTGAACACCCAATCCTCCGAGCACCCCCCCCCCTGAGAAGACATGTTTACATGATTCAGGTTTAGGGTTTAGGGTTCAGGGTTCCGGATTTAGTAAGGGTTTAGGGTTTTCAAGTCTCGACCCTTGCCGGTTCTGCGACAGTTGACCGCGTACTTCGTTGGCTTTCACTTCTGATTCACTGAGATTTGGCGTCAAGCCCACTGTGCGGACGCATATCTACATATATATATATACATATATATATATATAGAGATATAGATATAGATAGATAGACAGATATAGATATAGATACAGATATACTAGAGAGAGAGAGAGAGAGAGATATATATATATGCATATTTGCTTATTTGTGTGTGTGTGTTTAGGAATGTACAGACCATGCAGGCAGGGTTCGTAGATGATGTAAGTATATAGTTTGGCGCACCTGAACAAATTAAACCTCTAACCTCAGATCCTGCCATCGCGTCCCACCCCCATGCACGCACACACACACACACACACACGCGCACACAAAACCAACCATGAAGGCTTTCTCAAATTCATCATGAGCTGGTATTTCGGTGATGAATCAGGGTTGGAGGTACATGCACCCTAAATCCGAATCAGGCCCAGGAAAAATCGTGGCTTGCGTAGTTGATCAATCCCATTCCTTCATGCTCCTGCACAGCTTAAAGTGATACTAGCATATACCCAAATCTAATTGCTGAGGCCCCTGTATAAAAAAGCATGGTCGTAGTCACCAGAGCTGCAGGCCTACATGCCTGCACTCTGAACCCTAAACCCTAAGTTAAACCCTTAACCCTAAACCCGAAACCCTAAAAACAAACAAACGGCTTAAACTTTAGGGTTCCAGTGGAGCTCAGGAAAAGCATGTCGGTCTTGCTGGGAGCAGACTACGGCAAGCTTCTGGTGAACAGGGAAAATCCTCAGTTTGATCACTGCTCCCCTTCTACGGCTTCAGACAGGCTTGAAGGCTTTCAGGGTTCCTTTAAAGGTTCATGTAAGGGTCCTTTGAAGGCTTCAGTAAGGGTTAAGGTTGCTATAAGGGTTTTGCGGGGCTGACAGTGTTTTGTAGGGTCGACATGCTTTACAACTGGAGCCTCATTTTCATAAGCTTGCAAAAGCCAAGACCCTTCAACATGCTGGGCTTATGTGGCGTCCAAGGGGCTCACATTTATGTTTCGGGCATAGGGTAAGGAAGTCTGGCGTAAGGATGCGTGAGGTTTGTTTGGGCCGTTGCTGTCTGTTTGGGTATAGACCGATAAAGGGGTTTAGCATCATTGATGGCAGGTAAATGCCCTAATGCAGTCGTGAGTCGTGACCCTCAACAATTGCCTACAAAGGGGTCAAACGATGCTAAGATCATACCCTTCAAGTCCCTGTACAGGTATAGCACCATGTAACCTTTCCTATCTTTAACCAAGTGTAACCGTTGTCAAACTTGCATGAGGCCTGAGAATAGCCTCTACAAGTTGGACTGACAATGATTCAATAGTGTCACAGCACGGTGGCGACGACCTCATGGTCGTCGATTTCAACACTGCTCCCCCATGTGGTTGTGTTGTGATATGACTTCCTGTTAGATTCGCTATGTGGGCGGACATCGGGGACAGTCTTCGGCTCTCATGACACCGAACTAGCTCGGCTGTTGCCGCCCTGGCCCCGACTTCTGAATAATGACTTTCAGAGCCAATGCATCGCAAACCGTGTGCTGTAAAAGCACAACCTCATGGCTTCCATCTATAGGAAAGCTGTCATTTGAAACAGGAGTTCTACGCGTTAGATGATGGAACCGTGGGCTTGAACTGACGCTCAAAAGGAGCTCAGTGCCTAGGAGCCCCTTTACGAGCAAGATAAGACACTTCATCAGCCTTTTCATTGCCGTAAAGAACCTCTACAGTCACTATACAGTTCGAGAAAACCAAAACAAGAGCCCGAGAGCCTTTGGAAGCCTTTTTCCTTGCATCCAGCCAAGGCTTTTACTCAGAGGAAGAGATTTTCCTTGATGCCGCGAAGAGCCCCCCCTGGTCGCTGAGCTTTGGGCTTCGGTGATCGGGGCATGGTAGGACACATAGCCCCATAAACTGCAGGGCTTAAACCCTCAGATGGTAGGCTCTGGGATCTCCCTGTAAGCGCTCATGCTTGGGGTTTTCAGAAATCGAGTTCTGGTTCAGTACCTGGCGTCCACTTTGCGCATGTGTTTGTCTTCAGACCCGATTTCTTGGTGTGCAGCACCTTTGAAGTTGACCAGCGGTGCTTTTGTCCGTGTATGGTTCGGTTATGGAGCGGCTTAAGAAGTTGAGCTGTATACCGACAGCGGAGAGCCATACATGTCATGGTTCCATGTTTGAGTGCCGCCAGACGGGCAGACTCGCTTAGCCGACTTAGCCAGAAAGCTCATGCTACACAGCCAAGGCCTTCAAGGTGAAGTCCGAAACACCATACGCCATATCTATAAGCCTCTCACCCTACATGCCCCGAATGTCAGAATTCCAAGCCGCTGTGCGCCCAAAGCGCTTCAAATGTTTGGGGCTTACGAAAGCAAACCTGACCTGCATTTGCCCCTGGGCTGTTCTAGAAATCAACGTCTCGACGGAATGGATTCGGATGTGTAACTAGAGCTTATGGGGTTCATCATTTTTCCTGGGTTTAGAGTTTAAAGTTTAGGGTTCAGGTTTTCGGCTATACAATGCCACTCGCGGCCCAAGCCCAGCCACCAAGATGATAGTTGATCCTATACCATATACGTATCTCCGTATATGCAAAGATGAGCAATATACATGTTGCACGCCTGTGTAAATAGATGTATGTCGACACCCCCAAGTCGCAGCGCAGAAGCAGATTGCCCCCTGCAAGGTCGAACGGCCAGTCGGTGCTTTTTGCAACCTGCCGCACAGGGTGGCCCGGTCGCACACGAAGAGCCCTTGAGGAGGTTTAGGGTTTAGCGGTGGGCTTCGGGATTCTGTAGCCTCAAAAAGTTCCCAACCGTATCCTGCGGAGCCTTTTCTTTCCTCTAGGGTTCCCAAGGCCACTTGGCACAAGATTTAGAGGGACCCAAACCGCCAAAACGGCATGGTTCTAGAAGTCCAAGTTGCAGGCAAAGCTCCCGACTACACAACCCCAAACTTTACCCTAAATCCGGGCGCTCGTTCTAGCAACGTGGGAGGCGAGAAACCCCCCCTAAAATCCTGTAGTCAGCTGGGGGGCTGCGAAAAAAAGCCCTACAAACGAACCCTACAAACCCGAAGCCCTGGAATGACCCTTAGTAAAGCCTTATGAAGGTCTTATCAAAGCCATGTTAAGCCCTTATTTGTAGCCTTCAAAAGGCTTTATTAAAGCTCCGAATCCCCAAACCTCAAACTCTCCTTCAGTGAAGCCTCGAAGGGCCGTTTCTTGAAGAAGAAGAGCTTCAGAGGCATCTTCTTAGCCCTAGAACCTACCCCCTGAAGCCCTTAACCCCCGAAAGTGCCGAAACCCTTAAACCTCTGCGCCCTAAAGTCCCAAATGCCCCACAATCCGAAACCCCTGAAAGTCGAAACCCAATGGAAGCTGCACCTCTCCTGCGCGATGGACTGTCTGCAGCCCTTGCCTGGCGTTGTCGGAGTGTGAGTGTCAAACCCTATACCCCTAAAACCCCTAGACCCTTAACTGGTCTCTTGTTAGGTGATTTATTTCCCAGACCCCCGGGAGGATC